AAATTAAAAAAAAAAAGCAAGTCCTACCACCAACTGGAAATGCTATGTCAATCTACAAGATGTTGTACTGAAGTGTATGTATTTAGTTCCAGGAATTTTAAGCTCTATGTGAACTCTGACTGGCTTCCCAGTATAGATATGAATCTTGTTGAAGGAGTTTATCCATATTTCCTTCTGATTAGAAAAATTTAAATAAGATTTGTTTTACAGGGCAGAAAACCTAAAGAAGCCAGGACAAAAAGGGCATTAAGTATTTTTTATATAGTTATTCTTTATTCATAATTTTCACCCACATTCACAGGACTCTGGGGTATTGAATAGGCTGATCTTTTATCTGTTTTGTGTGAGCAGGGGAGCCTCTTTCCAACAGCCGTGTTCTGCACTTTCCTTTGTTTTATAAAACTTGTTGTGGACACATCACATGACTAACCCCTTATGGGAAGATTATTTCATGCCTACCTCTATACTTCCTGCAATCATGACACCCTATGCTTTCTGCTGCCCCTCTCTGAGTCTGGAAGCTGCAGTGATTGTGGATGAAGGAAAGTGAGTAATTCTAAGTTATTGTAACCAGTACATGGAGACCATCTGAGATTTTTTCAGATTTAGGTTTTGTTGGTACAATATTTACCTCTGCTTTTTCTGCTTTTAAATCCCCTTGGGCTACTTCTTTTGTAGAAGTGAAAAAATCTAGAAAGACATCACTGTTTGCAGGGATACAGGCTAGAGACTGACATGCTGAGGAGCATGGAGATTTACTGAAAAGGGTGTAGAGATTTTGTAGACAACAAGCAGAACATTAGCCAGCAGCGTGTTCAGAAGTCACAACTCTGGACTTACAGCAGAAGCACAGCCAGTAGGTTGAGGGAAGTGATTGTCCTCTTTAACACTCATTAGATCACACCTAGAATTCTGCACCCAGCTTTGGCCTTCCATGTAGGGAAGATATGGAGAAACCATAAAGATATGGATAAACCATAGTAGGTTCAGCAGAGGACCACCAGGATGGTCAGAACCTGAAGCATTGCTCTGTGAGGAGAACCTATTGAAACTGGGCTTTTTGAGCCTGGGGAAGAGAGAGCTTTAGGTGGACTCAGTAGCAGCCTTGCATTTCCTCTGGGGGGGTTCAGTCATCAAAAAGGTGGAGCTAGGCTTTTCACAGCGATGCATGGCAAGAGGATGAGAAACAATGAGCATAAACTAAGTCAAGAGTAAATGGGTATAGGGAAAACCTTTTTCTCCACCAGGTCAGTCAGACATTGCAATAGGTTGCCAAAGATGTTGTGCCATCTCTATTCTTGAAGTTTTTTCTCAATCAGACATAAAAACTCTGGGCAACCGAGCCGAACCTCATATCTGACTCTGCTTTGAGCATGACCCTAGGCTAGAGATCTCCTGAGAGCCCCTCTGTTCTGAATTACTCTGTGATTGTGTTGTCATAATATAGTATCACAATTCTGGGGTAGTAATAGCAAAATCTTAATTGTTCTGAATATTTAAATTATTTGGCTGTGCATTGCTTTTTGATTCCAGAAATGCTACATATGCCCTGTACATTCTCCAAACAGCTTGTATTTGTGCTTATTTACTGGTATGACGTGCAAACTGTGCAAAAATATTGGACTCTAGCCTTGGAATATAGATACCTGCCAACAGAAAATGAAGGCTACATGGTGCTGCAAATGTTTTCTCTGTCTATGGAAAGTGCCTTTTATGTGCCAGAAAGAAGCATTTATACCACATGCTTTTTTTACTGCTTCTCACATCTGTTAACATTTACATGTGTCAGAAAACAATACCTGAACAGTAAAGGGAAGGGATACATGAAGTTCAAGGGTATTATATCAAGAAAAATGGCATGTCATATTGCATATAGTACATTGGAATAAAAGAAAAGGAAAAAGGAAAAAGATTTCTTGGACTTGTCAAATATACCTAATATGTGGGCGTAGTTTGTATATACTATCTATGAATGCATTTCCATACCTGAATTGAATGACCCAAATTGCCAGTAAATGGAACTGAACCCATGAAAGGGTCAAGGAGTGATAATCAGGAGGTGAAAGACTTATAAATGTCTTGGTTTATTAGAAAAGGAATAAATTTTATTTCATTAAAGGCAGGATTTGTATCAAAATCTTCAAAGCTGGATTTCTAAATACAGAATTACCTACTTCTATTGAAATACTTTGCATTTTTGATAATCTTCTCTTCAGCTGTCTTTTTGTCAGTACAAAAGGAGTAGGTTAACTGACAAATGTTGCTGTATATCCACAGTCCTTAGAGGCAGCTACTGTATTGGGCAGTGTTTCCAAGAATAGTGCTTTGAAGTCTCACAGTGAAAATCCTGAGACACGGTGTAGTACTGGATTTTGTATGACGTGGCAGTTCTTGCAGATGTTACCACTGGCAAGTGATTTAGAAGAAAATTAGAGAGAAACTAATCTGTGATCCCCTGAACACAGAAGGAAAAAATCAGTATTTGATACCTTTGTAAAAACTGGTGTTTGCATTGGTTGCATATGTACCACTAGTTCTTTGGTATCTATTTGGGTCTTTTGTACCAGTTTCATGTAGGATTCTGTTCTTTGATGCCTCACCCTGATTATCCAAAATGCACCTGCAGTAAAGAGCATGGACCCTCCCCTATAGCTATTATCATTGCTTAATATTGAGTTCTCTGTGGAAAGTGACAGAAAATACCTATTCTCCTATGTCTTTTGAGTCTAGAAAGAAATTATGGCTAAAATAAGAGATAATTAACCTTGAATTGAATCCTACCTAACATGTAGTCATAACAAAGGCAAAGGTCAATTTTTGTTTTTTCCTATACTCCTAGTAGATAATGTATCTCCAAAACACTGTATTTGATGAACATCTGCTCTTGCACATGGATACAAGTCTTATCTGAAATTATTGTGGATGTTAGAGTTCCACACTCACTACACTGAAAAAGCCTTGCATTAGATCTGTGAAGATGCAATGAATATTCACATAAGGCATATGGTTTCATTGCCCCCAAATTTAAAACCTAGCTCTCTGTCAAAACCACCATATGAACAGCATGTGCATACATATTTTTTGGGTTTGAGTCAGGGATATGAAGGATCTATAGCAGTATTCTTCTGTTAGTTGCACTAGAAAGTTGTGAGGCACCTGAAGAATCACATGGTAATTTGAAGTGATGAGAAATCAATTCTTGACAAATGGCAGAGAAGAAAGCTGTTCATCCAGCAATGTTACTAAAGAAAAACATTGAAGTTAAGCATCTGATAAGCTTGCATTCTGGTCTTTGTGCTTTGTAGAGCTGCTTTATCATTACAGGTAGACCTGTGGTTTCCTTGGTCTTATATCCACCTGAAGTCAGTGGTGAACCTTCCACTGACTTCTCTGGTTGCTGACCCTGGCCCAGGTTTTGCCCACAAATAATGTATAGAAACATAAACCTTTCTCCTATCATTTCTTCTAATGTAATTTTAACTCCGGCCAATCCTTCCAGAAGGGTTCATATTTTAAGAGTCCTACCTAGTTACTTGGACCTAGATATCTGATTACAGGAATGGAAATTTTAAGAGGAAGGATTCCTAGAAAAAATTATCATTGATGCTTAATTGATAATACTGTTTCTGACATAATTCAAGCCTGTCACAGGCACTCTTACATGTTGAATGTAGGGGTCAAAGGGTGAAAGGTGACTGGAAAGATGCTTGTTTTGTACATTTGGCTAACACAAATACTTCCTCAAGTACAAAATGCTTTGATCTGCTAAGTAAATGCCATATGTGTGCAGCTGTGGCCCATGCCTCACGACTGCTGGAAGGTTAGGAAAAGGTAGCATATGAATTTGATGTCTGCATTCAATTTATGCTTTTATATTTAGCAGTTCATAATTTTGTGTAATATTTTAGCTGTATGAAAAATATGCACCAGGGCTGAGTGATAACAGATTTCTCTGTGGTTTAACTCAACATTGTTTGGGTGAATACAGATTCCTAAGTATTGCAGACTGAAAATACAGGTTTTAATTAGAGCTGTCTGAGCTTCAAAATACCTGAACGCACATTAAGCCTGGCAAATTTTCAGAAAGCTGGGGGTTGTGTGGAGCTGATTTAAGCTAATCAAGAGTCTTTTCTTTTCCAACTATATTGCACATGTAGTTGCATCACCGACTTGCAACACACTGAAGTGAGATCCAAACCCATTATTAATGGTTTTTTGATATATAAAAATGTTTTATCACCAAGGCCTGTCTTGTGTCATACTCATGTTGAACAGTACCTTATCCCCAGGGAATTTCCACTGAAAAATTTGAATGGCTTCCAGAGTAAAGGATCTACTATACATGACTGAAAAGCTGAATCACCTCCAAAAGTTTGGTGCCTTTCTTGAGCTTTCATTTTTCAGTTTTACATGTGAACGTTTAAGACTGATATGCCCAGATCTATATCCCTCAAGATGTTTAATATGAGTTTAACATGAGCTGTGACAATAAAGAAACCTACTGCAGTCAATGGGACACAAGGGTCCATCACATGAATCCAGTTTCATGATCAAGACCCAAAAAAAAAAAAAAAAAAGAAGCATTACTTTGTCTATTAAAAATATTGAGCATGTACCTTTGGAGGGAAAATTGTGACTCATGTGACTCACATAAAGCATGTGCAATTTCTCCTTACAATAGCAGAAATACAAGTCACAATCAATGAACAGACATAGTGCAATGACCAGAAAAAAAAGACATGAAAATATCAAATCACAAGTAAAAATATGATAAAATATAATGCATTGCACTTTTATGTGGATGTTAATAGATAAATGCCTACAAAAGTATACATGTGGTAGATACATGCATATGTATGATCCAGTGTTGTTAATATGACTGTAAGTATTTTATTTATCAGATGTGTGGGTTAATTAATGCAATTATTCTAGGTATGATTTGAACGTTACTGAAATGGAAGCACATTGATTTGTTTTTTTCTCCTCTGTGTTTTTGCTAGCTCCTACTGGCCATGGTAGGCTCTACAGATGACACTCTGCAGGAGGCAGCAGCTGGTTGCATAGCAAACATTCGCAGATTGGCTCTGGCAACAGAAAAAGCAAAATATGGCTGATGCTTCAGCAGCTTTTACCAACACACTTGTTTAGCAATTCAGCTACATTTAAATACACAACTACTCCTTCTAGCATCTGTATTTCATAGCAGAGCTCATCTATTTGAAGATAATTTAATAAAAACAAATCTGTGGAAACTTATGTTTGATTTTACATTACAGGTTTATCATCCCTAGGTTTGATAAAACACTCATACCTAATTTTGTATGTCTTTTAGCATTACATCCATCCAAAGACCATCAGTTAAGATATGTCAAAGACATTTTCTACAACTGATATGCTTTTATTTTAATTCATTGTAGCTATACATGGTTTTGCTTATCTGTGACATTACAATAAATTTTGCTTCTCTGTGTGTGTGGTTATGCAGCAATTTATGAATGTCTTGAACAATTCCCTGCATTATAATCTTGTCCAGTCATCCTCTTATTATGCTTTTGCCTGTTTGATCAGTTGTGACTCACAGGAGAGCAGAAAATGCAGATACATGAAACTCACATCTGGCATTATATAAAGGCTGCAAACAGCTGTAGCAATAGACATCACTCCAAATTTCCCATTTCTACCAACATCAAACAAAATAGTGCTTAATTTTATAAGTAGCTGGTGAAATGTGTTTTAATTAACACGTTTAACTCAGCTCTAAATAGAGAGTCAGATTTTAGATTTACATTTGCACATTATCTTTTTGTTGTTTTTAATTTTTAAACTGAAGACAACATTGTATTGATGTAGTTAATTTATTTCTGTATAAAATTATGTTCAGAATTACACTTGCTTTCAAAAATGCACAGAAATTATTATTGATACTATAAATTATAAACCCACTCTACATACCATGCTGAACAAATAATGCTAAGCCATTTCTGTGAGAGCAGTAATGTCTTAATTACAACCACAGACTGCAGGCAAAAATGAACAAAAGCAAATATTTAAATGACTTGCATTTGTCAAGGACTCACTTCTGAATTATTTTTTTACTTCCCTTAATAATTAACAATTTTCTTGGTTTAGAAGCATTTTGTAATTTCATTATTTTCCTCCAACTAGAATGACTTCTCAAAGCAACTAACTTTCTTGCTGACAGAAGCTTCTGAAGACGACATAATGCCAATCCACCTGTTTATTTGTGTTTTCTCTGAAGCAGACATGAAGACTCATTTCAAATATCATTTTGGAAGACTTGCACAATTCTGAAAAAGGAAAATTACGCTGGGGCCTTAGGGAAGGTGTTGAGGCTATTTTAAAGGAAGCCAGCTGTGGACAGATGCTGAAGCAGTGTGGAAATCAAAATGTCAATCCAAGTAGTATTTTTTGATCAGTGCAAACACCAACATAGTCACAGGGTTCATCACAAGCTCCATCAGCATCCAGTGACCACATAATGCTATTTTAGGTTTTTTCAAGCTCTGCCCCAAAAGCCTGGTATGTTATTTTGACTAAACATTTCTGTATTATTATACTGATGTCACAGCTGTAGTAGTATCATATGCTTCATTGCTATATCCAAAAATACTTCTAAAATAAATGCTAATTGCCAAATTCATTTGAAAGAGAAGAGGCTTGATTTTATTTTTGTCTCTTCTGTGAGAGGAGCTGTGGATACAAATAGTTTATCACAGTCTCACTTATGAATAACACGTAAAATGGTAGCTTATTTTTCTAACTGTTGAAGGGCAAAAACTCCCTGAAAATAACTCCTGTCCTTAGCTTAACCTCTCGAGGCACACTTGACTGTTTAGTGTGGGTTTCAAATGGAATAAGTTCTAAAGCAAACTTAATTTTATGATACAGGTGTCAGGGCAATAAATGTCATGTTTCTGACAATGAAATGGCCTCAGTTTGCCATTCTCACTCACACTGGTAGCCCTTGTGCCTCCAAGTAGTTAATCTGAAACCTTTATTTAAAACCTCAGACAGTTAATCCCAGACTTAAGATAACTTACTTGTGCTGTTTTCTTTTCCTTTACCATGCCTGCAGTTTTAAAGTTCTGTACTAGGAGAATTGTTGAAATCAGTACAGATCACCACACAGGCAAAGAACTAGTATTAGAAAAATACATATTTTTTGGCCAAAACTGGTTGATTCCATGTAATTAATATAAAGAGATTTAGTTGTTGGAAAATGAATAAAATGAATGTGATCCCTGGCCCCTGTGAGTGATGCAGTACAGCATGTACATTTGAAAAGCTTCCACTTTGTCCACAGATCTGAGATCCACAGTGCTGCAGCCCTCTGAAAAGGGATCCTCACAAAGCTGGGTCCCTCATGCTGCTCACACAGCCCTCCAACCCTCCTGGCAGTGCCCACCAGCCTATTCAGGCCCTGGCACCAACCCAAGGCACTGCCACCACCCAGGCCCAGCACTCCCACTGCGCATACCCAGGCAGCAGCCAGCTCCCACCCCTGGCTCCCATGCTTGGGAGGGAAATGCCTTCACTCCTTGCTCTTTCCACCAGCTGCTTCTTGTCCATGTAAACCTGTAGCCTCTTAGGAAATATGGTTACACTGCATATGGGGCTCAGTATTATTTTCAACTGAGAGCAATTGGATGTACAAATTATTTTAGCTGCAAAAACGTAGTGATTTATAAGGGGAGTCAGGGTTTGTCCTGTTCAGTTGCCATCATCTGCTCAGTCTGCTCCCTCCATGATTTCTCTATACGATTCCTATATTTTCACAGTTTTGTAATATGTCTTTTTTACCCAGTTTATTTACATTGATGTTACCATCAGCAGAGAGTATCCAACAGTTTTCACAGTTTCAGGAGCCAGGCCCCAGCTCTGCAGAGCACCATGCTCCAACTGGCAGTCACAATGCCAGGCCTGCTCTTCACCAGCTGCTCACTGTCAGCTTTGTTCCTCAGTTACACTCAAATGTCAAAAACCATGGAGTCCAAGTAAGAAAAGTTGTCATGAGAAAGTGTTGTTCTGAGTATGGAAATACTAGAGTTGATGAGAAAAAAAGCGAGAGAAGAAATCTTTCACATTTATGCAATTATTTCTGGAACCTTATAGGCCCACTACATCTTTCAGTCTACACATCTGTCAGCAGCAAGATAGCTTTTCTTCTACTACTCCATGACTTCATGATTTATTGCTTGGTGACAGATAATCATTATCAATAATTTAATTGTCCCAGGATGTTCAAACTACACATTTGAATCTGGGATTTATGTTCATTTCCTTTTAGTGTTCATGCTAATGACAAGTGCATGTGTTCTGACACACGATATTGTCTCCAAGTTGTAAGAGAAATATAAACTTCACGGCCTGGGTGCAAGGAATCTGTGATATATTAGGGGCTTTGTTATTCTGCTCCATCACCAAAACTTTCCTTTGGAAAGTAAATGAGCTTGAGACTCACAGGGCTGTCTCAAGATTTGACTCAGTAATATGCCTTAGGCTAACTGATCACTGAAAGCGTGGTACCTTTTTCATTCCATGTCTCCTAAAATGAGTTGAGTGAGCTGCTTATGCTGGGGGTCAGATGTGAATTATCCCAGGAGGCTGAACTAGATAATATGTTAGTTTAAGAATTTCATCTCATAATAAATTAAATGGTTGTTCCTTTCCCATTTCCACCAAAATAATCTTTGTTTTATACATGACAGCAAGATGACTGCGATGGAAACATGTAATATGTTTCTTCAGCAGTGGAATTCAAGTTTCCATGCAGGCTGTTAGCAGAGCTTATTTCCAGAGTCAGAAGCTGACTGCTCCCCAACTGCAAATTGTGGTTTGCCTCTTCTTTAGCCACTTAATCTTTGCCACACACTGCTCAGGATCCAGAACAACAGAAGGAGGCTGTTCTGCATCTTGGCCACTCTTTCATTCAGACAGCCTAATTGTGGACTGTTCAGTCACCTGGCACAGGCCAGGACAAGCATGTTTCAGCCATAGCCATTGCAGTGGTAAGTTACATTGCACCATTTCTAAAGGAATCAATTTTGCCACTTACTCTTCTCTCCCTCGCTTAAACAGTGATATTCTTCAGTGTTTAATATCTTGCTGCTTTGGCTGTTGAAAGCAGACAAAAGTCACCCATTTTCATGAACCTTTTCCTTGAGTGCAATTTTCACTGTAACTTGTGCTTTGCTTAGTTATCAGTACAGTAATACAACTTTCTGGGAAGTATTTCTATGGACAATATCACCATGGCTTGTATTTATCCTCTTGACTTGTTTTTGTGTTATCTGCCAGACCCCTTTCAGTTGGCAAGTTCCTTTCTCTTTTCCAGTTGTTGTCATTGGCAAGTTATGTGTTTTTATCCTGGTCTACATAGAGCACAGGACCCTTCAGTTGCTTGATCTCTTACAACTGAAATCATTTCTACTTTAAATACAAATATGTTCCTTCTGAAAGACTCCTCAATGCACGTAAGGAAGTGTTGACTTTGGTTTCCATACAAAGTGATGTGACCTAGTCCTGCCACTACCATAGTTCTGCCATGACACAAAGCCATCTTCACTAGTTTCACATGTTTTCTTCCATCATTTGAGAATCCTGACATGGTGACAAGATAGTACTTGGCCAGTCAAAACCTTTGCCTCTTGTTACATTGACTGTGTATTGGAAAAGGACTGTAAGAATGTCATTGTACTAATGGTGAACCATGAATCAAGAGGTCATAAACCAGCAGTTTTCAGTCAACTCCCCATTGCACCAGGATCCTGAATGCCTTTAAAGCTGCTCCCTTCTTCATTAGGTGAGAAATGGCTGAGAAGCTTTTGGGGCTCCAGACTGTTCCTTGTGATTGGTAGTGGTGGTAAGTGTTTGTCCAGCCGTGCTGTGTAATACCCCACTTCTGCAAGGGCTTGGTGAAGGCAAGAAAGCAAAGCTCAGCACCTGTGCTCCAGTGGCTGCATCTGGCAGCAGAGTTTTCCTTCAATGGCTGAGCCTTGAACCATACCTTCTAATATCCAGATTAAATAGCTAGGGATTTGTGTCCTGCTTCTGGAAAAAAAAAAAAAAAAAAAAAAAAAAGGCTTTAATAAAAATGGTAAT